TTTCGGAGAGACCAATGCTCGAGCAGTATCATACACCCAAAACTGTCGTAAAAATGGCCAGGGTCTGTTGAAATACCACTTTTTTAAAGAAAATGAATTCCATGAAATGTGAAAATAGGCGTCATGTGCAACATGCTATTCAAATTGGCCTTCAAGCTTAAAAGAAAAGGAATTTGGAAGTTAGTTCAAGTTAGCAGGCAGTGGACTGTCCTCGGTAAGATTGTACAGCTAACATCGGTGGTTATATTTCCCTGAAACAGGTTTCAGGTCGTTACAGAGAAAAACAAAACACACATCCACTGCACTGCAGACAGGCCGAGCTTCTGGTGATGGCAGTCTATCACAGATTAATGTTCAATAAAACAGAAGAGAGCGGGGGAGATGTGACTTACTCTTTTGCGCAGCAGGGACATTAATGAAAGTACTGAGTCAGAGTTTTTAAAGGATCCGGTGGTAACTTTTAACAATGGATTGGTCCTTGGAAATGCCCTAAAGAAATTTGCTGTGTAACAAAATGTCAAGAATACTTTATAAACTATAAAACGCATTTTTTAACGACTTCTCCTTTGCACTTCATTCACTTCATTGCACTTCAATGTCAGATAGAAATATGCAGGAAAAATACTTTTGATTTGAAAAGAAGGTTTGATTGCAATTATGAATTTCTAAACATCATAAACATCAGGTGGCTCAGGCTCAGCGTGCCACTTACACACAAATAGTGAGCTTTACTGGCAAAGTGTGTACACCGGCTACTGTTTTCTCATCCAGCTCAACACCCATTGTAATACAGGACCTCTCAGTGGTGTGTTCACAGTCTAATCCCTGGCCACGGACCAGATAAAAACAAAAGCAAACAGAGCAGGCGGGGTTGTCTGGGTGGTCCCGATTCAAACTGACAGCTCATAAGGCAAATAGGCTGCTGGATTTTCTTTTGTAATGCCACTGTATTTATAGAGGTGTTAAAATAGCAGGAAAGTTAAAAATATAGGATTTTGTAAAAGCTGGCTCATTATTAGAGCTTTCAGGTTGACACCTGATATTCATGTGAAACAAACAACATGCAACTGCTCAACTTTAGAATCCGCAGCAGCTGCAGGGACATAATGAGAATGTTTCACTTGACCATCAAAATAATATATTTTATTATGACTTTTATTATGACTTTTTGTCATTTACGACTGAATGTATTAACCCACCACTAACATGACACACAAACTCAAAGAAATTTAATAATATCTTGTTCTTCTGCATTTATTTCTCCAGTTTCTAACTTTACATATTCAATATATTTGGGTCACTACAACCATTTTTAAACAGCAACATTCTTGGCTAATTAAGACGTTAAACTCCTTCCCCTGAGGAACTGATTTTTAAGTCATTCAGAACTGAAATGCCAGCTGACAATCAATATAACCTGTGGTCTGTTGATACTGAAATGTGAGTTCAATCGGGCAGAGACAAGTGAATGAAGTATAGTTTATTATAACAGATAATATGTGATAATAAAGTCTTGACAGAAAGCCTTTGGTTCTCAGACAGCTCAGGGAGATTTTTAATCTTGGGGCGTCCATCCTGAGCAGCAGGGAGATAAATCCCCCCCCCCACAGGGTCTGACATTGTCTGAGGAGGCTGATGAAATGATGAACCGGGTGGATCCTCAAATACTGGGCAGTGATGTGGAGGCTGACAGCGCCAAACAATGACAGAAGGAAATTATGGGTGAGCATGCGTGAGAGGAGTGAATGGCAGGATGTATGACAAAGACACTAAAGGCCCAAGCATGGAAAAGAAAAGTCTTCCTGACTGAACTTACGCTAGAGCCTCATTTATAAATAAAGTTATTGTGACGAGGAATGCCTGGAAACATGAACTGAGTAGAAGGAAGAGAGAGGCTTTGTGTCAAGGTCTTGCAGAAGTAATTCATTTCCTTAAAGCTTTACTGTATATCCGCAGATATACTTAAGACTGTGCCTCACAAGGGTAACCATTTAGTTATTCTGTCAACGTCCTCCACAATCAATAAAGATTCATTTTGTTTTGGTTTCTTAGCTATTTCATCTTCACAACTTTTCACAACCTACGTGTGTTGGTTAATTAGAGCACATGAAATGGCTGAGGGACAAAGAATGACATTTGACCTCTGCCCAATGCTCCAGGCCGACAACGTGCTGATTAGAGTAGCCTGTGGTCCGACAGATGGAAAAAGAGACTTTAAATGGACACGGCTGGGTTATATTAGGAAACTTTCCCTTTTAGTCAGCGCTGAGAGCAGGTAGATGGGTGTGGGGTCACCAGGTTGCACCAGTGAGAGAGCGGCCAAGCTCAGTTTAACATTTGTGGTGGGAGGAGCCTACTTGATAACCCTGACGACATTCCTGCTCTCCAGTTGGAGCTCTTAATCTTAGTTCTATGGATGACTGGCCAAATGCAGATTGCGCTGAGACATGCAGTCAGAAGTTAGCCAATATATGAGACTTGAATGATCACAACTTGTTTTTAGTAAAGTATTTATTAAGAATTGTGGTAATGAGTAACTTTAAAATACTCACTAAAAAGTAATTGGCTGTTCCAAGTAAGTTTGTTGATCTTGATCTTTTGTAAAGTCGAAAAAACTTCATCATCAGGACATCTACAACTATTTTTTTTTCTTTTTTATTCCAGTATGTTCCAGAGGTGCAGTGACCAAGACTGCCGCTGCCCTCCACTGGACAAATCAAGTCAAAAACAGCAGGTTTAAAACAGATCATAAAAACAAGGGCAGAATATGAAACATCTATCATCTCCATAGATTCGGCAAGCACAAGCCAATGTACTGTAAGAGTCTGGGTCTGTTCCAAGAATCAAGCCCGGTATTCATCAAACTGCTAAACGTGAAGTGAAAGATATTAAAATCAGTGACTTTGAATGCCTTTTGCACATTTAAGAAAGTGTTAATCCTCTTTCTTTTGACTTAAAATATGTTTAATATCAATAGAGCTCTGGAGGTGTCTAGTTGAGGTCTTAGATGGCTCCCATACATAGACAGAGCAGATGATGCACCTTTCTTCAGATGTTTTTGAATGACTTTATTGTCATTGTATCTGTCAAATGCTCTGCTTTAGAAAGTCTGTTACAACCTGACATAAACAGGATTCAGTCGTAGAGCAACATCATGATGAAAAAAGGCAAGGATCTATGAAAAGGTCTTAAAGTGTGTTCACTAAAAGGTGATACCTTGGCATCAAATACTAGATATACCTTCATACCAACAACAATGTTCTTTCTATCCACAAATGTAATTTCAGATGTCAGCAGTCTTCCAGAAGTCACTTTTTCCATTGGTGTGTATTGGGCTTTCAATATCTGCTATCCACAATTGCATTTTTGATATCTAGAATGAACGTTCTGGGTACGTGCAATGCAATTCTTACTCGGAAAAACTCCCAGATATCCTTTTCCAGATATCCATAAAGTAATTTTCTATATAAGATAAGATAAAATAAGATAATCCTTAATTAATCCCGCAGTGGGGACATTTACAGGATTAAAGCAGCATAGTGGATATTGCAAACAAGAGATATAGTAAAGAAACAAGATCACAACAAGTATTATAAATAACTAAATAAGTAATAAAACAGTAAAGAAAGTTAAATGAGTAAAAAAGTAAAAAAAATCTACAATAACTAAAATATTATATATACAGACAGAATAATTGTAGTATTGCACAGTGTATTCATATTGCACAGATTTTTAGTGTTGTTAGTGTTGTGTGGTCTACTGGGAGCACAGCTGGTTGTGCAGCCTGACAGCAGCAGGAAGGAAGGACCTGCGGTACCTCTCCTTCACACACCGGGGGTGAATCCCACCCCATGCGCCCCGCATGGGGTGGGAGTTGTTGTCCATCAGGGATGATAGCTTAGCCATCATCTGCCTGTCTCCCACCACCCCACCGTATCCAGTGGACACCCCAGCACACTGCATGGCCTTCTTGATAAGTTTGTTAAGTCTCTTCCTGTCGGCTGTCGAGATGCTGCTGCCCCAGCAGACCACTCCATAAAAGATGGCTGATGCCACCACAGAGTCGAAGAAGGTCCTCAGGAGTGCTCCCTGCACTCCAAAAGACCTCAGTCTCCTCAGCAGATATGGGAGTATCTCCAAGTAGGGATTCTATTCAGATACCCAGAATGCTCATTCTAGATATCAAGAATGCAATTGTGAATAACTGATATTGAAAGCCCAATGCACGACAATGGTTAAAGGGAACTCATTTTTCGTAGGATACGGGTCAAAATTCTCCTCATCACAGACAAAGCCCTCCATAAAATAGCCCCCTACGTTTCTGAGCTCCTGCTCCGACACGCTCACATGTAACCTCAAAACCGCAGACGGCAGAACTGCACTCAAAACTCACCTTTTTAAATCTGCTTTTAAACTGCGATTCATTGTTGATGCAATGTAATTGTCTTTTTACAGTCATAATAGTCAATAATTTGCTTCGTTTTCATTGATATTGCTTTTACTGTTTGTGTTTTTACCATGTAAAGGGCCTTTGAGTACCTTTTAGAGCGCTATAACGATCAAATATATTATTATTATCATTAGGAAGAACAAATTTGTGGATATCTGAGATCTTTTTGACTAGGATGAATTAAATTTAATATTTATGCAATTTAAATTAAATCTTAATAGACTATATATCAAGTCTATTAAATGTTAAAATGGCTCCTTATACTATTTGAGGACATGTCACCATCAAATCATACCAAGTGCTTTGCTGTTACATTATCAGCTTTGATCTGCAGGTTCAACCTAAAAACATCCTGTCACATCTAACTGTGAGATGAAAAATAAAGGTTTTGAAAGAAACATTATCTATGATTCACCAACTTCCCTTAAAGCGATGCAACTTCCTAATAGAGCATCAACGATACCACCAGCAGCACACAAAGGACACAAGGACCTCTACCAAAGCCAAATAGCTTTATTCTTGTCAATCTGTGTGCAACAAGACCGCAAGGATGAAGCTACAACTTTTGATCCTTACTGTTTTGCGGTTTTTGGTTCTAACCAATCAAGAAGAAGAGGAAAAACAGGTAAACGATGGGACTTTCTCAATTTGTGTTATCCTCAGGTTGTAGTTAGTGTGTTAAACTATCATGCAAATTCCAATCACTCATTCAAATTAGTGGTAAACATGAGCAAATAACAAAAGACTTATACATTAAGCTAAGAAATTATAACATTTATTTTTTTGCCTTTCAGTATAATTGCACGGTGAACATGTGCTATTATGATAGAGTGATGTATAATTCTGTTGTCTAAAATGATTATATTAAGCTAATTTGAACGGAAAAATTCACGTTGGTTTGGAGGTTCAACTAGTTTAGGAGGCAATATTGAACTTTCTTTCAAACTAAGTTATGTCAATTTTTTAACTAATAAAGCTGCATCAAGCTATTTCATACAGCAGTCAGCCAGGAAAGTCTATATACAGTACATATATACAGTACGCAGCGCTTATTTGGTTTCTCACTGAGATTTGGATAAGAAGATACCATGTCATGTCTAGCCAATCATGGTAAAGCGACAGCCAGCAGCTCGTTAGCTTAGCTTATACCACAAAGTCTGAAAGCAGTTGTCTGACCTTCAAAGGTAACATTTAACTCTTGTAAAGAGAAGGGAAGTGAGCGTATTTCCCAAAATGGCAAACCATTCCTTGTGTTTTTTGATACCTACTGTATAAAGAAGATACCCCACCAGTGACCATTACTAAATTACTACTACTACTACTTTCAATAATAATAATGATAATTTGGGCAATAGGGTAAAACTTCATCTTAATTTGGTCGGATGGCACCGAAGATCTTTACAGTTTTAACAGTATTTTTCTGTTCTCTATTGCCGCTATGGCAACTGTCTACTGGTACTTCTTCTACTACTGCTTGTAAACTGTATGACTTTGTTTTTATTTAGCAGCTGACAACAGAGGAATTTTACATGGAAGCTTTCTTCAACAACTCCAGTCACAATTTCACATTTGAGTACGACGATGACCTGTCTGCTCCTTGCAGTGTAACGGTGCCTGGATTCAACAGCTTGGGCCTGATGATCACCTACATCTTCGTGTTCGTCCTCAGCGTGGTCGGCAACAGCGTGGTTATCTATGTGCTTTGCTCCATGAAGAAAGTTAGAGGTAGCACAGATATCTATCTAATAAACCTGGCGATGGCCGACCTTCTGTTCTGCCTCACCCTCCCGTTCTGGGCCGTCAATGCTCATTCCGGTTGGATCTTCGGCAACTTCCTGTGCAAACTCCTGTCAGGCTTCCAGGAGGCCTCGGTATACAGTGGTGTCTTCCTGTTGGCATGCATCAGCGTGGACCGCCACTTCGCCATCGTGAGAGCTACGCGTGCCCGCCCCTCCCACCACCTGTTGGTTAAAGTGGCGTGCGCTGTGGTGTGGCTGGTGGCCGGAGTGCTGTCCTTACCCGGTGCCATTCAGAAGGAGAGCATGAGCCCTGAGGAAATGGGCCAGAACATTTGCTATGTAAACCTAACTGGCGAAAGCAGCGACCATTGGCGCGTCGGCATGCGTGTTCTGCGCCATACGGTGGGCTTTTTCCTGCCACTGGTGGTGATGGCCATCTGCTACGGCTGGATTGTGGTGACGCTGTGTCACGCGCGCAATCAACAAAAGCACAAGGCCATACGCGTCATCCTGGCGGTGGTGTTAGCCTTCATTCTGTGCTGGCTGCCATACAACATCACCATGCTGATTGATACGCTCATACGAGGCGAATCCATTGCGTCGGGGACATGTGAAACGCGCTACATAGTGGAAGTGGTGCTGGATGTGACCCAAGTGTTGGCCTTCATGCACTGTGCGGTGAATCCGGTGCTGTACGCCTTCATTGGCGAGAAGTTCCGTAACCAGCTGCTCTCAGCTCTTTACAGACATGGGCTCATCAGCAAGCGGTTCCACATGGCTTACAGGAAGGGCTCAGCCAGCAGCGCAGGCAGCGTCAGATCTAGAAACACCTCGACCATGTAAATAAAAGGGAGGAACAGTTGGCCTGTCCAAAGAAAACCAAATCCACCTGTCCACGCCGCTGAAGGTCACTGTTTTACAGGGGTTTATGTGCCAAAGTAGGCCGGGAGCAGTAACATCCTTTGACTTTAGAGGGGCTGCTAGATTACCATAGACCTGCGCCAGGCTAGCTGTTTCCCCCTTCTTCCAGTCTTTGCTAAGCTAAGCTACCCTTACTGAATAAACAGATCTTAGAGTGACGTTTTCTCAAAAAATTAAAAAAAACAAAAAACAAGCTTTTTTCCTAAAATGTCAAACGTCATCCCCTAATGTTAATTACCCTAACAAGTAATACATGGGTGGAACATGGATGTTCATGGTTCACATGTCTGGTACTCAAGTTAAAGCTTGGGAGTATTTCTATTGCCTCTCAACAACTATCAACATGGCAACCGCTGCAGCTGCTCGCAGCTAACGGTGCTAACAGCGCCAACAGTGCAAACAACGCGAAAAAATAGCAACAGTGCTGACAGAGCTAACAGTGTTAACCTGAGGGGGAACCGGAGTGTGGGCTTCTGCAACAATGCCGCCATTTTCAGATGTAGCCAGTAGGGCACACTCACGTGCACGAACATGCACTAAAAGCATGCACGGCTGGCACGGCTATGTCAACAATGCAAGGAGAAGCTCGGATTACAACACATACAGAGGGTAGACATTACGCCATTATATTTTTACACAGCAAAAAGTTGCTTGCTGCTATAACAATGCTCTGAATCCTGTATATTGCACCTTTAAAATTGAATAGTCACTCCAAAGCTTCAGCTGGATGTCTGCTTTAGTATCCTGTCTCAATCAAAATGTGTACCCTTTAGATTGAGAAGGCAACATATATATATATGGCTATTAATATATATATATATATATATATATATATATATACGCCATCCAATTAGTTAATGAGAAAGCTGAAAAGCCATTGACTAAAAATGTTGGCCTATACTTTTTCAACTTTGAGAACGGGTCATTCATTGACAATGTATTGTTAATTCTGTACATTCTTTATGAAAAGAAATCCGTTCAAGTCCTTTACGATGTAATTTCCATGTGTTTTTGATTCTGAGACAATGTGGACATGACTGGAGAGCCATCTTCTTATTTTACCATCTTTTAATTTGAACACTGTGAACTTCTTTTTTGTCCTTAAGCAAAACAATAGTTAAAAATAAAAAAGTATTTTTCTCGTAATCAGATATCTTAATCTTTCAAACAGGAAGAGGTGGTGACATCAGCAAAAACAAGGTACCATCTGTCTCTTTGATGAATGCTTTTCATTTGTGCACACCTGTGCAAACTGCTGGGGAAACGTTACATTGTTCTTTATAATCAGTGCTGTGATCTTAAAATGCTGTATTTTCTCATTGTCCAGTAACCTTTTTTCTTGCATACGTAAGAAATGCATCATCCTGATGTGTACCTTGATCACATGAATGTTTGTGCACGTGCACGTAGTACATGTGCATTGGGTGCTTGTGCATATCTGTATCTGAGTGGGTGGCCCTGTGGCTAATATAAAGATCAAGAAGGGGGTGAGTGTCTGCATTAGAAAGTGTGCGGCTGCCATGATTGCAAAACAAATGACATGGAACGGATGTTGTCACATTGTCTAATGATATTAACTATTATGGTATTATCCTATTATTCTCAGCTGTTTCTCCAAAACTCATACATACTCTTTCTAATAGTTTATAGTGTCCAGAATTATTTTAAACGTTTGTCTGAAATGCAATTTCTAAGATATATAACATGTAGGGTATTCCCATTCGTCAAATATGCAGTATAGCTTTTATAAAAAATGGCATAGTGCAAAAAAAGGAGTACTGGTTGTGAAAGCAAATGAACTGTGTACTTATACTTGGAATCTAATAAATTCTGAAATCTAAACTATGCGTGGTCTTTCCTCAGTCAAGTTGTGTGACACTTAAATAGTTGATTTCTTTAAATAATTCTCCAAGTTATGTATTGCATTAGTCTAATTGTACTGAGGAGCAGCAGGTCCTCTGGCGTGGAAAAATAACATGTATATGGTAAGATTTCTCCAAGCAATAAGTAAAAAGTCATAAGTTTCACACTGAAACTTTTGGTTTTCGACAGCAATTGTGGAGTTCTTTGGTTAGAAACCTGTTTCTGTTACTCTAGCCAATGCTTTGTCACGCTGTCCATGTTCTGTCCATGTTCCTGTTGTATTTGTGTTCTGGTGTTCTGCTGATTATCATAGTGACTGTCAAATTCACCATGTACAAGGGCAGGGGTTGCACAAAAAAATGCAGTTTGTAGTAGTATGCTAACACAAAAACACACACGTAAAAAGCTAAACTAAAAAATGTCAAAAGAACCGAAAAATCGAATTGATCTATTTAACAAAAAGGCAAAAAAAAACAACACACACTGACCAAATGTGTGTAATCTTTAGTGAGTAGCTGTAAGTGGATGAATGAATGAGTTAAATAGCTTTTTTATGATGGGAAATAACTGGGAATACTTGAAACCTGATCTCAAATGCACTCTCAGAGACTGACCAGGTGAACAAAGTTGTGATCAGGCAGCACACGTCAGTATTTATCGTATGAAGTTCTATTGTTGGAAGGTAGTATATTTGCTCCGTACAAAGAAAAGTGAAAAGAGATGATGTTAAAAAATGTCCACAAGTTCGCTTTATATCTGATCAAAAAAGAAGAAATAAATAGAGGAAGACAAGTATGGTATTTAGCAATGATTTTTGGACCATTTTTCTAGTATGACAATTCATTTTTATTTCTACTATTTAATATATGTGTGCCTTTTTATGTTGTGCTCTGTCTTTTAAGACAGTCTATTTTAATTATTGTTGTTATTATTGTTGTGCAATATTACTATTATTATCAATTACTAAAAATGGCAAAAAGGATCTTTTGACAACAAAACCAAATTAGGTTAATTTAAATATAAATATTGTAATGCAGTGGTTTGATACCAGAATCAGCCCGTGCAACAGTGTTAAAGTTTGAAATCACTTAACTCTCAACCTTCAAAGTACAATATTGTCAGTAGGCCTATCTTATCTACGTTCTCATATGAGGTGAAGTCAGGCCCCTCTGCCAGAAGATGGAGCCACTTTCCACCAAATCACTGAATCATTTACCTTTATAGTGCGGGACATCGTATGTTGTTAAATGCTTACTAGTACATAGAGATTAGTGACATCAGTTAATTATGCTACACAGCTCCGGTGGCAACTTTGACGTGAGCAGAGGTGTAATTAGCCAGAATAATGGAAAACACCTGCGAGGGCAGCGCTGGGGGAAGATTCAACACCTTTCTATTTATTTGTTATTTATTTGAAGGAGCTCATTTTGACACGTTACAATATGAAACGTGTTAAATAACAGTGCTCACTAAATAAAACTGCCCACGTGAGTTTTGGATTGGACCAAACACACACAATACTCAATTTTAACTTCCCGGATGAGATTTTAAAACGACCCGTTCCCCAGTGGGCGTGGTCAAGTCTGTACGTATGCGGATATCACGTTTCCATAGTAACAGCATAGCCGCAGCTCGTCTGTTGACTGAATCTCTGCGGTAGCTAACGTAACTAGCGTAACTAGCCGATAATGAACTGCGCTAAAGTGGCCTGCAGATGATTTGTTGACCACTGAGCTAGAGCGCTTCCTTCAGGAGCATTAAGGTAATCCAAATGCATAATAAAGTGTGATATTCCCGAGCTAATGCCTGAGGTTATCCTCTTATAGCAAAGAAGGTAACGCTAGCGCTCGGTTCAGAGCTACTGAAAATGTTGACAGCTTTAACTCTTGACCGACGCAGTAATGCTTCAGTTTTCTTTTCAAAATAAATGCCCAGTTTACTAATGCCAGCTACTTTGTTTGATAGCGAGCAGAAAAAAGCACCGTCTTACACCTATTTATGATGTTTTCCAAACTAATATTTTAGGGACCCATCTGTAAATGTCACATGAGTCTATAGCATTGTTGAAACCGGGATATTACGTTAAAAGAAGATTATATGTGGTGCCCGTTTGAGTTTTGTAAGTCGTATGTATTGAAGAAAGTACTGTAACGTTATAAATTACGTATATTGATGTGAACATTTTACATCCATGTGATTTCCACATCATTGTTGTTTTTACCACATGCCCCCCGGGCTCTGTGAGACACTGGTTTACTCAGTTAATATTTATCACGTGAAGCTGTGGTTTGCTAAGGTTAGTGCTTTTTATGTCATTAAGTGGGTGTTATGGTAGCAACCAAACACGCCATTTACTTACTTTGTTTTAACTCTAAACCATAGCTGGAAACGTGCCTGCTTTAATTTTGAAAGGAAAACCTACTACCGGAAGTCATAATGCAACAAACAGAGATAACTTCCCTCTGTTATTTTCAGCCATGTTTCTATAGCGAGAATACTAATGGTAACATTTTTTGTTTTTTTAGTACAGTATGCGCTATAATTACTGTAACGTCCCGTAGGAAGGAGAGTCTACAGGTGGAGATACATTCAAACCTGCACTGAAAAGTATTTATCTAGGTTTTACGTCTTTGTTATTAGCCAACTCACGTTTGTTAGCTAGTTAACGTTGACGTGAAACACTTCACCGTTATTCATGCGTTTGCCTCGACATGTAGCAGTGTAGCCAGTTGTTTAATTGTTGGTCTCCAGCAGGGTGTGAAGGATGTCTAATGACCTCGCGGGTGTGTGGGAGGTGGCGCTGAGTGATGGAGTCCACAGGATAGAGTTCGAACATGGCACGACCACCGGAAAGAGGGTCATCTACGTCGATGGAAAGGTATGGATCACGAAACGTCAAAATACAACCAAAAAATGTTTTATTTATTTATGAATGACAGCAGCTTTTCATTACTGATTTCTACACCGGACTACAGGAGCTACTGAGACGGGACTGGATGTTCAAACTTGTGGGCAAGGAGACGTTCAACGTGGGCAAATCGGAGACCAAAGCGACCATCAACATCGACGCAGTCAGCGGGTTTGCCTACGAGTACACCTTGGAGATCGACGGGAAGAGCTTGAAGAAGTACATGGAGAACAGGTCGAAGGTCACCAGCACCTGGGTCCTCAACTTGGACGGCACCGACTGCAGGGTGGTCCTGGGTGAGCCTCTCTGTGATCGCACTGTCCTCATCAGGTTGGATATTGGATACCTGTTTTAGCATAATAGTGTGAAGTCTGCCCCGTCAGAACTTCCCACTGATATTATGCTGGAGCAGAGGTTAAGCTCTTCAACAGCTTTAAGCTAACTCTGTCATCCGGGCAAGTTAATCCTTCTTATGGTTACACTGCTTACAGTCGATCAGGCGGCATGCCACACATAAGGACTACTGTACATTAGCGTGCAATAAGTGTCTATGAAACTCAACAATAAAAACAAACAAACATGTTATTAATTCACTTAATTCAAAATATGTCCGACAACTTTCAAATTAACCTCTCGGCCACATAAAAGTCACATCTGAACTTGAGATGCTGGAGAATAGTTCATTGGTAATGCATGTGGCTGTGAGAGAGCTGTGTGTTATCAGGGATATGTTTTATTCTATGCATGATTGCAAATTGTCACATTACAAACAGGGGATGACTCCCGTAACATTCGCTCTTTTGAGATCGCTTATTCCTCCTCCATCATGAGTTGTTGGTCGGTTACACCACCACAAAGTCGAGTGAGTATCTCTTCATGGTGAAACACAAGGGAGGGGTTCACTTGAAACCACGTTTAAATGGTGATGCATTCATGTTATTATAAAGCGGCATCGTGGTTCTATTTTTCATACTTTATATTTATTATTTTACCAAAAAACAAAGATAAGATAACGTATGATGATAAGCCTTTTATTGATACCCAGAGGGGAAATCCAGGTGTTCTTGCAGCACAAAGACGGATAAATAGAGAAAGTACACAAATAATTAATTCATTAGAGGTATATCAAATAAAAATAAATAGAAATAGAAACTAAACAAGAGTAATTGAAGTCAATATTTCATAGTGGCATAGTGGCGTGATTAGTAGCAGCAACTTTGGCATGTTATAGTACACTGCATGTAAACAGAGTACACCAGAATTATGTATATTATGATTCAGTAATGATACTTGTTTGTCTGTATTAATACCGATTTTTATAAGAAAAAATACCATCCTTAAATAAGTGCATCTTAATAAATACATTTGATGAGGATATTGTACACAGGCATAGTCATTACTTAGTAACATATGAAGTCCAAAATATAAAGCCTCCTACGACAGATACACACATTATAATACATGCATTATAACTTTATTCATACATTCATAAACAACTGGGGTCACAAACAGATGCTTTTCAACAAAAGATAAGAAAATATGACGAATTGCTCATTTTGTAGGTGCTCATTTTTTTTTTTTTTTGTGATTTCATTCAGTGCTGTGATTTCAGATGATTTGAAATACAGTAACTATTATTATCTTGATTTAGTTTCAGTTCAAGTTACCCAATCAAAAGATATGTTTTGCTTTGAAAGCATCAACTGAAATACCATAAACCAGAATGTATTCAGAGTTGCACAGATAGAAATGTGTGAATACACTGATTTACATTGACCACATGTCTCCACCACTGGCAATTCAATGTTGTTTTTAAAGAGGTTAATAATCAACAAATTGTCTCCAAATAATCTCAGTTGTTTATAAGATTAATTCAAATGTATTCGTATATGTTTACAACTTTAACTACGATAATGTTTTTCAAAAGGAGGTGGATTATTCTGGGTAGATGTTCTATTCGTAGGTGATCTATCTGTCAGGGGAAGCCTGCAAGTGATCCACAGAGAGAGCTAAAAACCAGAGCGTTGCTCTCCTGCTTGTTGTTCTGGGACACCACGAGGTGATCAGATAAACTCAAACATTCTGCTGCCTCACAGCCTGACAAACAAACGACTGAAACGTGCCTGTGCCGTAGCCGGATCAATAAAGACGGACTTGTTCAGCAACTGTTAACCGGCAGTCACATCACATTATTTATTGCCCAGCAGTTGGCATGATTCAGTGTCTGTTTACTTTCTTTACAGAGAAAGACACGATGGACGTTTGGTGTAACGGGCAAAACATCGAGACCGCAGTAAGTACAACGGGAACTGAATTTAAGAAGTCAAAATGTTAAAACAGTTGTGTGTACAAAGTCAGAAATACAGATGCCGCAGACGACGTGGAACTGAACCGTCTTTCGTCCGCTTCCTTCTGTCTCGCTTTCCACCCGCAGGGGGAGTTCGTGGACGACGGCACCGAAACACACTTCACGCTGGCAGACCACAATTGCTGCGTGAAGGCCGTGAGCAGCGGGAAGCGGCGAGACGGCATCATTCACACGCTGCTCGTGGACGGCACGGAGATAGCCGAGTGCACGGAGTGACCGCGCGTGCACGTGTTGTACGAGAGAAGGGTTCTGGGTGCAGTGACTTGGTGGATGTGTAGAGTAGCGGGGGGGCATTTAAAAGCTGTTGGGACTTTCAGGGACCAACTGCGCAGAAATGTGAGCTTGTTATGTTTGCATGTAGGAAGAGTAGAGGAGGGCAGGACCTGGGTGCAGTCATACATTTCAGCCACAAAAAAGGGATTTACTGTTTCAAAAAAAATGTATCTTCACACTGAAAAACTTTTTTTTTGGGAGGTGCAAACTGTGATTTTTATATTGATGAACTAGTTTCAGTAATATTATCAGCATTAGAGGCCAGATGTGCCATTATTTATCTATCTCAGCCGGGCTCGGTCTGTCAACATGAGCAGCTGGTCGTAGAAAACCACCACACACACACCTGCAGATAACCGGGAAACACTCTCACCGTGCTCAGCTTTCTTATGTCGGTAGGAGGATTAAATACCGGGAAATGAAACTGTTTCCTCGAATGTAGCTTGTGCGTGATCCCTGTTTGGTCCTATAGTTGACGTGTCACATGGTGTTTTGTGTGACTGGGTCAGCCGGTTGGTAATACAGTAGTGTCATTAGTTTTTAGCGGCCCGCTAGGCTACGTCGTCGCCCATTGGAATGGCTGCAACCGTTCCGTAGACAATCATTCAGAAGCGGCATTGTTGCCTGTAATGAATCATGTGCACAGCTGAAATAAATCACCCGCTGATAACCAAACGTACTCCGTCACCGTCAAGAGATGTGTGGGCTTCTGTTTGTGCTGTCAAATTATGTCTCTTTGTTTTTTTTATGTCAAGGACAGATGTTACTCAGATTAGAAACATTTGTTTTATAAAATCATGATCACAGATTGAATGTTTTTCTAGTATATTTAAATGCTTGTTTACGTGCTGAAGAGACTTTTACTTTTTATGGAGCACTATGAGAACACTTAACAAGTCGTGAGCAACAGAGAAAGAATAGACATATGCTGACGACAGTGAAAAAGCTACTCAATGGATCTCAAGTTAAGTTATTTCCTAGCTGGTCAAGGATGAACTTGAATACTCAATAGAGCAGATGTTAATGTGTCATGAGGTATATGAGGGACTTCCCTTTGCGTCTGTCTTAAAGCTTTATGTTAATACATGTTTTATTTTGTTTACCATGACGTGTACACCTTTGTAATATGTATTTAATTTGATTAAATCCATGTAGCTGATCAGGTTTTGTCGTTGAGCTTCATGAAAGGATCTTCAAATATAAATTATTAGTATTAGTATTAGAAGCCATGGGTTGTATGCCCATATTCTCTGAAGTAGAGTTGTGAATGTTGTTTACAAACAAAAAACAATACAATTAATCTATTATTTTTTTTTACATTGTTTAATTTTGATTTCAACATCAGACACTCAACCTGCAGCCACCAGGTGCTCTATTCAAATGAGATTAGCGTACAATCATTGAAGCCAAAGCTTTGTCTTGTTATATGAAGTGATAGAAACTTACTCTAAACTAAATTAAATCAGTTGTTTGTCAGTTTACAATCACAGGTACAATGTGTTGCTCTACTGATATTTGCATATATAATGCCTCTGAACAAACGCCTCACAACACCAAGTGTTAAAAGTATATTTCTGCCATAAGGGCATTTTTAAAGTAGAATAGAAATGATTGTGCTACTGTGTAAAATATGTTAATCGCCCCCAAAAAACTCAAAGCAAATGCCGTGTCTTTCTTAAGCTGAATATACCTATATGATTTCAAGAAGTAAGGCAAACTTTTTAAGGAATCACTCCTCAGCCCATCTTACAGGTCATGATGTATGTGGGCAGAGCTTGGTAGCTGCTAAACACGACGGAGACATCCGGTCCTCCGTTCACACTGTCGTACATGGTGAGTGGATCTGTCTCCACAGCAGGTGGCAGAATGAGACCCTTTTTACCGGGGGCGGAGCGTCCTGTCAGCACCTCGGCCTCCACGAAGTAAAGATACTCCTCCTTTTTCTCCTTCAGCCCCTTCCAAACTTTCATGGCTGCTTTCACGTCGCCAGCGAAGTAGATGCCCTCTCCGTACAATGGCTCTGTACACAGAGGAGCACACAAAAGGAAAACAGCTGCTGAGTTTTTAAGACCCTAGAAATGATGACCAGGCGGAAAATAATGTTTGCACGTTTATCAGATGCTATTTGTGGCAGCGCTATTGTCAAGTCAAACAGGGGTTTTCTTTTATATAAATAGAAACAATATAAATAACTGAAAGTAATTTAAACTAATGGTAAATGAAATAATAAATGAAGCCGTTAGTAAAGGGATTGATACTGTGTGACTGTTCGGAGGGAAAGCAGGGCGGAACCAATCTGCCTGGAGGTATATAACCAGAGACGCAATAACACACGGTGTCGCAGAAAATACGGTCCGAAAATTGGACACGGAAGTACCGTCGAGATCGTATCGTGTGGAAATCTGCGGCCGTCACTGCATGACTGACGAGTCGGAAAGGTCTGGAGAGGCAGCCGGTAAGGGAGCTGACACTGCGCAAATAACTGAGACTTTGAAGCTGATGTGAAGAGAACTGCCGACCAGTTTTTTAGCATTAGCATCACGCCACGGTGATCTTTACAGGTGCATGCACCTATAACCCTTTGGTTTGGAATGCTGTTGTTTAATGATTGACTGCCCACAAATGTGTTTTTATCTGGTTGCGGTAACTTGTAATAAGAGGTTAAATTATTCACTGATGGTATTGTAAATGTACATGATATAGCATTAACTGTATTTATTAATATAAGGGCATTGTTAGATTATAGGATTTGACACTGGTGCTTTATTTAATCAAGCTATCATGAAAACTTTGCCTGTGTAAATTAATTTGTGTATTTAATATGGGTTCTGTTTCTTTTCTATTTAAAGGTTTTTTTACCTGACTGAATGAACTGCTAAAAGTGCTAAGCTAAAAGGCTAGAAGTGCTAAGCTAACTGAACTAAGTGGCGTACTGAACTGAGTGGCTAACTGAACTGAGTGGCGTGCTGAACTGAACTGAACCTACCAAAAATAAAAGGAGGAAAAAGAAAAAGTTGTTTGGTTTCTGAGTGGAATCCAGTTGGGACCCTTCAGGTGGACTCGATCCTTTTCAAGTGGGGAAAATGCAGACGTTAAGGACTTAACTTAACAGTAAAAAACGGATAACTTGACAGCTATCATACCATCAGGTGGAGCATACTCTGCATGGAATCCAATATGGCTGACCATCTCACAGAAGTGTGCCGGTATGTGTTGAAGCATTTGTTGGGGCGGAGTGGTGCAGCTCAGCTGTTTTTTCTTGAGGCCGAAGAGCGTCTCCAGTGCAATGTTCTCCACTTTCTCCATCTTAAAAAAATGTTTTTTTTACAGGTCAAGCAGTGGTTCACAACATCATCCAGCATGTTGCAGTTACACAAGCTGTACCTGCAATAGCCACAGCCCGTCTTCTTTGAAGATAGACAATCTGTCCAAGAACTCTGGGCTTGTGTTGTCGACCATCTTTCTTCCAAAGGACAGGCTCTTCGTCAACACGGCTTGCATGAAGTCCTCTTCCTCCGTGGCGAAATTCTTCTGGATGTTGCAGAGCATGGCCTCCACCTGCAACCCGGCGACTACAACATCCTCCACCGGCTCCCCGCTCACAGTCAAGCTGGCGCGGCCGTTCTCGAAGAACTCCTCGATGGAGAGGTCCCCTTTGACAAGACGGGACAGCTGCAGGTGTTCCTGCTCGCCGAAGTGCTGGATGAAGTTGTTGTAGATGATGACGGGGCCGGAGGATTTGAAGAGAAGGCCGGTGAGCCACCGTTTGGCCTCGCGCTTTGCTTCGTTGGAGGGCCCGTTCAGTCTGATCTGTGGTGTGGGAGCGCTGCCGCCAAGGAAGCCCTCTCTGTGCTCAACTGCTGGTGAAGACCAGTTCGCTGCTGAAATTTAGTATCACTATAAATATTTCATAATTCCAGCAAGATATGCATTCTTCTACGCTGTTGTTGTGTTTTTTTTTGTTTTTTTTTAAAACTGTAGCTGCCCTACATTAGCTTTACCGGGTTTCTCCCTGGATGTCACTGCAAGGACATCGCACATGTTAAGTGTTTCTTAAATCAAAACTAGCGTTCTGCAGCGCTGCAAGAAAAGTAATGGTCCCCTTTAAAAGTACATGAAATGATGAAGTGAAATGTGGTTGTTACCTTGTGCAGAACCGGGATGAGATGCCTTGTGCTTGAGAGATCCCATTTGCTCCTCAAAAGCCTAAAAAGAGAAGGCCATTAATGTACACTTCTATCAGATGACATTTCCTGGAGTTATTGAGCTGCAGCATTGGCTGCAGAACTCATGTCACCGGACAAACCCAGTGAACAGCTCTCAGCAGGTGTAGGTAGTGTCTCACACCACATATTCCACCTAACAGGTATTACATTGCAAGTTATATTCCTCTTATGATTACTGTCAAGGAAACCTTTAATTTAGCCACCGGCTCCAGACACACATGGCCAATACGGCAACGTTATTCTACGATCAACATCAGCATTTTAGCAAAACAACCTTAAATGTGTCGTTGTCCGAAGGAAATATGACGAAATGAACGTCCATCTTTGTTTTGGACTTCTGGTCGAAGTCTGCCACGGCCTGTGTCATGATGTGGGCGGATTCCTTTTTGCTGAACCCGAGCCCACCGGTGCCGATGGCAGGAAAGGCGATTGACTTGTGCTTATGTGCGGCTGCCTGCCACAAGCATTCCAATACAGATTTATAAAGAATATCTGATGAATTCCTCTGTGGACAGACAAAGAGACACAATCAAGCTCCTATTACAGTCCATAGCAAACACTTTCTGTGTAGTAATATATCTTTACAGTGTGTGCACAATACATCCGTGCTACTTGGAAGGTGTGCTCTCTCGATCAAGAGGAACTAATCTAACCAAATGAACTCCTTGATGGAATATGTTTTTCAGGTGTGACATATTCAGTCTACATTTCATTTATTTATTCAACTCTGAACTTGCTATATCGGCACTTCACTTAAAACAAGCAATAACAGTTAAACTCATACCGTACCTTCTCCGCTGCTCCTATTCCCCTGTCAGGGCAAAGGGTATGAAACACCTCTTTACAGTGCAGCATGTAGGGTTTTGTGGTGATGAGACATTCTTTCAGAGGAGCCTCAATAATTTCTTCTTGCATTTTTCTGCCGGCTTTCTTCAATAACGCTTTGGAGACCACACCGCTGCTCAAGTCTCGCCCGGGTGACGTGGTGTTTACAATGACATCTGTCTGAGAGAAAACAGAGTTAGTGCACGAAAACGCAAATATGCAGCTGGTGACATGTACTACGTTCATACTGTGACGTTCATTTTTTTTCTGTTTTTTTTTTTTCATGTGAATCTCACTACGGACTTAAGTGCATGTTTGTGAAGATAACCTAGTAAAAGCTTAGTGGTAAATATGAAAAATACATACAATTATACAGTTATTGTATAAAATAAGTAAATAATTGTATATTGAAGAAACATTACAGATTAGTACCTGCTGTTCCTCGATTTTACCCGTCTTCAGGGTCAGGAGGACGTTTCCAAGCTGGACGGGACCTGCTGAGGTTTTGGCTGCACCGCTGCTGTTGCCGTCGGGTAATATCTGACGGCAGGCCCGCACCATTTCTGCCACCGTGGGCTCGTCGTTGTTCACAAGGAGGATCTCTTTGGGGAGATGTGCTGAAAAAATAGCGTTTTCATAGTAGCGTTTAACAGTTATCACTATGGTGGTCGCACACTCTGGCAGGGGGTAGTTGAACAGACCAGAGCTTATGGCAGGAATGGCAACGGACTGCAGCTGGTTTTCCTTAACTTTGTCAAGAATGCTGCAGATGACCTTCTCCAACAGCCACTGAGACCGACTAACATCTGACATAAAAGGATAGCTTGGTAGGCAGGGGCCCACAGCATGAATAATCTTCTTGCACGGTAGGGACCCGGCACCAAGGACAACCGCATCCCCTGTTTTCAAGGGACCGTAGTTCGCAACGTAATTGTCACTCTCTCTCTGGATTTGTGAACCACCGGCGTCGGACAGAGCTTGAGCAAGGCCGCCACAATGCTGAAGACCTTCGTTAGCAGCATTCACGACAGCATCTGCCTGGACATTGGTGAGATCATCCCTCCACACGGACAACTGGACACCTCCATGCAGAGTAGTGGCAAATCTTTTCTCTGGCTTGACGGTTGGCCTCCTCTGCTGCGCAGCGCGCGGATCTCTTTCGAAATCCACACCGTCGATGGTGGCCTCGCATCCAAACTTGCTTTTAACGACGCCACTCAGAGCAGGGCCACATTGTCTCACAATGTTCAACGAAGTCCCACGAAGAGTAATGTCTAATTTACTGGCCATGGTTCCTAAACAGAGCAATGGGGGTAAAAAATAAAAACTTGTGTGAGTAAATCATACAATGACACCAGTGTGAATCAAGACGAGAAATAAGAATTGAATGATTGACAATGTCTTTACACGCTCAATACATATGTTGAGCTGAATATGTAATGAACATATCATATATCATGGACTCAATTTCATAATCATTTTGATTATTGCTTAAATATCTACACACTATTGGTCTTTCAATAAGATTATAAGACTCCATTCATAAAAACGATCCCTGATACACCAAGTCTATAGCTCATATATGAACAACTTATCATTTTAACATTCAATATACAACTTAATTCCATACTATTGGCAGAGTTATCAGGTCTGAAAAATCCTACTATCTATTGGAAAATAACAGCTGAACTAGCGTCCAGTGAACCCACGAAGTAACAGATATAAGTGCTGTTTTCCTTTCACTCCAGCAGAGGGCGACAGAGACCAGTATCCGACAAGATTATGCCAATAATCATAATCAATCACCTGTATCAAAAGGACACGAGCTGAGTGTGTTCCTATCCCACAGAAGTACATAAAGTACAGACTAATATACTGCTTGAAAAAACGTTATGCTGTACTTCATTGTAAAATGTAAAATTTGGGAACTGCACAAGACAAATTAAAACATTCATTTAATACTGTTTTTCTGAGATGTTCCTGCAGTTGTCTCACGCGAGTTGTTGCTCAATGAGTTAGCATACTGACATGTTACAGTAGCCGACTTCACATTGACAGCTTCCTTATGAACGCATTTAGTTGCCATTACTTTTGTTTTTGACTCGACAAAAAGGTTTAATTGCCTTAACATTAATTAAGCCGCCATTATTATTTGTTCGGTTGTTATACAGTAAAACAGCGTGAGCTACCTGACACACGGTGTTCACGAGACAACAACACAAATTCGCGCTAGTTTTAAGTCCTCGCAGTTAAAAGTCCACCATGTATTCCGACGCTTACGTTAAATTCAGCTAATTTAAACGAGTAAAGAACGTGTATTGTGCAGATGTGTTACGCTACTCACCATCCGCGCTGGAAAGTACCGAGTAAAGCAGAAAGTGAAACGAAAGAAACAGGGCGCGGACCTCCCAGAACTCCCCCACGGATGTTAGTCAATCTTCTGTTTAACCCGACATCTCTATCACATAACCCACTGGACAATATAACAGCATACCCGCGTCCAGTCTTTAGTTGCAGCACTGTCTGCGTCAACGTTTCATGGCCGCGCACTCGACAACGACGTCGAAAAACAAAAAGGTCTCCGTTTCATTTCCTGAGAAACAAAAGCGAAAGTAAAGCCCGTGCAGAGTGTACCGGAGAGCCAGCGACGATGGCGGACGCGTACTCGTATGCTCTGCGCGTCGAGCTCGAAGAAAACAACACACCACGACTCAAAAACAAGTTAGTGAAGTACTTTCAGAGTAAGAAGTCGAACGGTGGTGACTGCGAAGTTGAGTATGAAAACGGCGGCAGGACGGCGGTGCTGCGCTTCCGCAGCGAGGAGGGTAAGTTTGGCCCCGAAAAAAACTAGACCGCTGCTTATCTTACATAAAAGTAACTCATTATAATCAATCGACTTCTATACTGAGAGTGGTTCAATGTGTTTTTTTTTTTCTACCCCCCCATTAAAGACCAGCAACATGTTTTGAAGAAAGAGTCGCATCAGATAAGTTTGGATAAAGGCGTGTTGAAGATGACGGTTCACTTACCAACAGATGTGACAACAACTCAGGTAAGTGGATGCAAAAGAGTTGTTTATCTGTGAGAAAAATATTGATTTTAAGACCCCACCTCGATACTTTTTTTGTGGTGTCAGTTATAATGGGGAAGTGTTACAGGGTCAAGGAGCAAATTAATCATTCACCGAAGCCATTCCTATGATCACTTCCTGCCCCACAAGAAATAGCGATGATATTAAACTATTCTTCATTAACTGGTTATCATTAACCCTTTCTCAGACTCTAACAGGACTGTTGGTCTATTCAGTGTGAGATAAGCTGTAAAACACAATAGAAAAAGTTATAGCTGTAAACCCGCAGGTCCGTCTCTCTGGTAGTCACGTGATTAATGATAAACCACCCAAGGCCGTTCTGCAGCCTGTGATTCATCTTTCTCTCCCTTTCCGCTGTTTTGGATCATAGAGGTGCATACCAGAAGTACAAAACACTTGCCAAGCATTCTTTGCTGCTTGACAAAAAAAAAAAAAAAAACACCCTGATAATTTGTCTGACTGGCATCGTGCCATGTGAAACGGTTATATGGGATGTCAAAGTGATCAGTAAAACAAAAGGTGATTAAAATATATTTATATGTGTTTTACCACTCTGTAGGAATCTCCAGCTGATGAACTCAACAAGAAATGTAAGTACTCATCAAAACAAACTCCAGTGAATTGTATGCTTCCACATTGAGGCTTTATGATCTACGGTCGTCTGTCCGTCCCATTCTCGTGAAAGTGATATCTCATTTCTTCAAATTTGGCATTAACATCCACTCGGGCTCAAGGATGAACTGATTAGAATTTGGTGGTTATAGGTTAAGGTCACTGTGACATCACTAAACAAAATCTTGTGTCATGTCTCAAGAATTCATATGCTTATTATGACATGTAGCACAGTATATGTATGTGATGAAGGGGATTTAGGACAGCAAAAAATGGAAATATACCACAAAGTTTTAGCCATTTTCCGGTTTTCTTTAAAAAAAATATAACGTCAATATGTTGTTTTTTTGTCTATATAGTCTACTAATAATAAGTTTATCATTTTGTGCATGTATGAGGTTGACAATTTTCTTTATTAACCTCAATTATCTTGATAAATATATGTTGATATAAAAAGCACTATCCAAACACTTCCCTTAAACTTTGCATCCCACCATTCAAACCAAACCATCCCTGAGAGCTGAATGCACTAAAGAAACCACACGCAAATAAACACAAACGCAAGCAAACGAAGACACATCTTCACCAGTTTAACGACACAGAAGTGTTTTTAAAAAAGCACTGCAAATAGAGAAATGTGCTGCAAGAAGCTGTTTACAAACTTAAAAGTGATGCCCACAGATGAGGGGCATGGTTCAAATATTATAATAATTTGCAAAAAATGCTTGTGTTAAGGTACACAGCAGATATCTGCAATAATATCCTTATCATGTGATCCCAATGTTATGATAAGCTTAAAATGTTTTTTACATTTTAGGTGATTTTCCAACACCACTGACGGAAAGCCACCTTCAATAACTTCATAAGCCACAAACAATGGCAACAAGAAGCATTTCCCAGCCGTGTGCAGTTTTTGTATGTTGGAGTAGAGAGAGCGTGGATGAGGCCGAACCCTCTCGCGAGATTGTGTTGTCTGACGTCAGTGTTTTCATCTTACAACTTAACCCTTTTCACAGTGTGTTTTCAGTTCATCAAAGTTAATTGTAACTTTTTTCGTGGACTAAAAATGTGTTATTCAGCATTCAGTTGTACGTAGCTCCACCGTCTCGTGTCACTTCTGGTGGCGACAAGCCAAGATGGCGGCGGCCAAAAGGCCGAACTGGAGGCTTCAAAACGGCAGTTCACAAACCGATGAGCGACTGCGTCCATTTATACAGTCTATAGCAGGCACCTGTCACAAGAGGGTAGCAACAGGGGCTGTAAAATGAATATTGCACTAACTTAAGCATCGCTTTACATTTTTATAAAATAAAAAAACCTTGATAAATTAAAGTAATACGTTTTTTTTTGGTGTGAGAAATCTGTTTGTCTGGCCACCTAAATAAATTAAATGCGGGGGAAACACTTGGAATAAAGACAAATAGAGAGCTCCTTTATGGTTGGCTGTTATTTAATGTTAAATGATCTCACTTCTTCAATAAACGCGTGTTCAGCCACTAAACCCTCATGTCTCACTCACAGCGGATGTTGCTGTGATCAACAAGCAACCGAGCACCGACGACCACACACCTGCTGTCGAGGTTCAAACTAAGGCGCAAGGCGGAGCGGATGAGACGGCAGGCGAAGAGCTGTGCTCCACTTCTGCTGTTTTAGGAAACATTCCAGAGACGACAAACCAGGAGTTTTTGGAGATGCTGGTGGAGAAGGTTTTAAAGGATTCTCCATCTGCCAGCCAAAGCGTCACCCTGGAAGTCATTCCTGACATCTACTCTGCAGTGGTGACTTTTAAGAGTGAAAAAGGTACTCATTTACTGTGTGTGTGTGTGTGTGTGTGTGTGTGTGCGTGTGTGTGTGTTAATAGTTCCAAAAAGCTCCAGAGGTTTTCCTTTTGTAAACAATCAAAGATGCACCTAGATAATCTCTTGTGGTAATTTTTAGATGTAGAAGCATTTAGAAATAACACAAACCTACTACTTCAAAAAAAAAAAACACGCTTTTTGTAGAATATAATTTAGTCTGAGAAAACATGTATGACAAACATCAATAGACAGCCGATGGCACTAGGTCACATGACTATTGCAAAACTGAATTACACCACAAATGTACTTCTTGTGAGAAATCCCTTTATTCCTGCTGCCGCTAATGAGCAGCACAAAAATAGAACATAGAGGCGTTCTCACCCTGAATACTGATATATAACATTCCTGCTGTTTGCCAGCTTAAACCGCACGTGCCAGATGCATATGACAGACTATATGCTTATTGAAATAAATAATTCAAAAGCTGCATTCCAAATGACATACTTTTTCTTTTTACCTTTAGTACATACTGCAGCTGCCCTTACAAAGTAGGTACTGTTGCATGCAGTATGCATTCAATCGGGACATACTACTTTTTCATACATTACACCTTGAACTTTGACCCCTTTGCTCATATGTCTGTTGCGCAAAGGATTGTGGGTCAGATTAGCCAGAAAAGCATGCTAGCTTGCATACCGCAAAATGCGACTTGATGCAGTTTGGCATCCTGGTATCTTTGGCATACTGCATTGGACATACTATGTATTGGGACGTACTTAATCATTTTCTGGCATACTAAATATTATGGGTATTGGAATTGTTAGGGTTTGAACAAAGAGAAAGGCCGGCCTTCTTTAATAAACGCGTGTTCAGCCACTAAACCCTCATGTCTCACTCACAGCGGATGTTGCTGTGATCAACAAGCAACCGAGCACCGACGACCACACACCTGCAGTCGAGGTTCAAACTAAGGCGCAAGGCGGAGCGGATGAGACGGCAGGCGAAGAGCTGTGCTCCACTTCTGCTGTTTTAGGAAACATTCCAGAGACGACAAACCAGGAGTTTTTGGAGATGCTGGTGGAGAACGTTTTAAAGGATTCTCCATCTGCCAGCCAAAGTGTCACCCTGGAAGTCATTCCTGACATCTACTCTGCAGTGGTGACTTTTAAGAGTGAAAAAGGTACTCATTTACTGTGTGTGTGTGTGTGTGTGTGCGTGTGTGTGTGTGTTAATAGTTCCAAAAAGCTCCAGAGGTTTTCCTTTTGCAAACAATCAAAGATGCACCTAGATAATCTCTTGTGGTAATTTTTAGAAGTAGAAGCATTTAGAAATAACACAAACCTACTACTTCAAAAAAAAAAACCACGCTTTTTGTAGAATATAATTTAGTCTGAGAAAACATGTATGACAAACATCAATAGACAGCCGATGGCACTAGGTCACATAACTATTGCAAAACTGAATTACACCACAAATGTACTTCTTGTGAGAAATCCCTTTATTCCTGCTGCCGCTAATGAGCAGCACAAAAATAGAACATAGAGGCGTTCTCACCCTGAATACTGATAAATAACAATATAACATTCCTGCTGCTTGCCAGCTTAAACCGCACGTGCCAGATGCATATGACAGACTATATGCTTATTGAAATAAATAATTCAAAAGCTGCATTCCAAATGACATACTTTTTCTTTTTACCTTTAGTACATACTGCAGCTGCCCTTACAAAGTAGGTACTGTTGCATGCAGTATGCATTCAATCGGGACATACTACTTTTTCATACATTACACCTTGAACTTTGAACCCTTTGCTCATATGTCTGTTGCGCAAAGGATTGTGGGTCAGATTAGCCAGAAAAGCATGCTAGCTTGCATACCGCAAAATGCGACTTGATGCAGTTTGGCATCCTGGTATCTTTGGCATACTGCATTGGACATACTATGTATTGGGACGTACTTAATCATTTTCTGGCATACTAAATATTATGGGTATTGGAACTGTTAGGGTTTGAACAAAGAGAAAGGCCGGCCCCCCTCCCCCCCCCGTGCTGTGTTGTCCTCTGACAAAGCAAGGCCAAAAAGTCAGCTGGTGCAGGTTATAATCAAATCAAAATTTATTTAATAACTACAGAAGCTAAACAGTTGCAAACTGAACACACTATTAATAACAAAACAAACATATAAATTCCATGAAATTGAGGTCCAATCCGGGCCACCCAGCAAAGTGGTGTGTTTGCACGATGGCCCCCAGAAGATCTGACTGTCTCCCACAATTCACAGTCCCTTGTTTCTTCAAGTGTCTCTGAAAATGTCTATCAGCTCAGTGATTGGCTGAAATCCGATAAGCTCCTCCTGGCCTTTGACCCATTGGCCTGATCAATCACTCCTCTCCAGCCAGCACTTGTCCATCCCCCGCTGGCACACACTTCCTTACATTCCCGATGCCGGTTTCTCTGCTGCACATTACCGTATGGTCACCTCCTGAAAACCCTTGCTTTCCGTAATACTTAATACATTTCAGCAAATCTTCTTCACAGTGTTACTTCAATGACTATATTTTTGGTTTAAGACCTCTACAAGTAAATACATTGTAACATATAATATCTTCTATAAGTACACATGTTGTGACATTTAATATATAGTCTTCAAGGTGTGCTTTTAATCGTACTAGAAATGTTTTTAAACTTAAATTCCTCACAGAACTCAAACCATCATTATTTTTTATCCATGTTTACAGGCTAGCAGTCTTCTTCTGCCATGCCTTTGTTAATTTATTGGATTAGGAAAAATCAGCAGTAATTCTGCATATAGCTGGAGGCCTCTCTAGCTTGTGGGGGACCATGGGTGCTTGCCCGAACAGCCCTGTTAAAGATCCGCCCGCCAATGGATGTGAGATAATCCAAATGTCCATGCATGCATCCCAACAATAACTTTCCACCAATCTCATAGAAAGTGACCACTGTGTACCTAACACAGGCTTATAAATCCCCACATATGTTACTCCCGGAAAACTGAACTTTTTCCATCAATCACTTTTGCAGTTACCCCAACAACTGATGTTTGTTTTCTTTCAGCCAATCCCACTGAAAGCATTTTTATTTTCATTTTTGACTTCCGCCACTCACACGGACAGATGCTCTTCCATGTTATTAAATGTATCTATCCACACTGACTGATGTACGTCTGACGGAAACCCCACACATTTCTTTTGAACACCTCATGTCTATTTTTCGTCTGCTTAGTGACGCATCATATTTTGAACTAATTAACCGTATCTATATTGATCGATGAAGTCTCCCAGTCTGTCTGTGTGCAGATTCCCCTCTCTCGCTTCGACAGGGGGGGGTTAAAATCAATGGATCAATACATGGGCCTACAAACACTGTTGATTTCTTCCTTTGGAGACTACAGGATTACTATTTTGGTTCAGTAAATGTCTGCTGTCAGGCAGGTGAGCAGGCCGCTGTCCACTCAGCTCACGTCTCACTTCCAGTGGGGTTTGTGATGGAGAATTTTCCCTGTGCTAGTACATTTCTACTGTGACTTAGTTTATGCGTCTTACTCAATAACAAAACTATATATGTGACATATGATTGTGTACCTAGGAGACAGGGAACAGGACCATATGGGTTATCTCTGTCTTTGCTTTGATAAGAGGGAGTGACTCAATGGGGGTGCAGTTTAACCAGAGAATGTTTCCAGGGGTAATCAAGGGCAATAAAGACAGATCTCTTTGTGGGACAAGGCTCAGAAGAGGAAGGGGATGACTGGAGGGGTCAATGGGGAGCTTGAAACTGCTGATCAATTGTGATAATGTAAATACCTGATGTTCCCCCCTACTGTGTGCTGAGATTAAGCATCTCAGCACCTGGATTCTTGGCGGATTCCTCGCTGCAGTCTGTATGACGATGAAAGCCTTCCCTGGCCAGAGAATAATTACTTTAAAGACGAACTTCTTTCCTCAATGTTTTTTGTTTCAGTATTCAGTATAGGACTCACTTGGTACTATTGAATAGTTTTTTCTACCACAGGTTTCGCAGTAAGAAAGCACATAAAGCTGTTTATTGTCTGTGTTATTGCCTAATTACCTTCACCTTTTATCACTATCTCACAGAAAACACTGATTTCGTGACAAGATGCCCCCAAAACAGGACGTTCACGAAAAAGGGACTATCAGTCCGGCCTCTTGAAGCCACGGAGCAAGTTGTAGTTGAAGACATACGACATTTTAGTGAAGATCTCCTCCGCCTTTATTTTGAGTATGCAGGAGGGGACGTGGAAAATGTTGTGCTGAATGCAACGGAACAGTCTGTCATCATCACCTTTGAAGACCGTAAAGGTAGTAGTCATTAAATATTACATCAGAGATTGACACCTTTTCTTTAATATGAAATTCAGACAGTGTGACGGTTTAATATTTGATTGTTTTTATTTCCCCATAGCTGTTCAGAAAATCATGAAGAAGAAGCATCGCATCAAGGAGGAAGAGATCAAAGTTTATCCTTTTTATAAGTCTTTGGGAACAGCCCTCTATGGAAAAGATAGGCCCCCGCTAAAACTCCCTGCTGCTGTCTCTGAGTCCGTTGACGACGCTGTCTGGAGATACCTAAATGACAATCAATCGGCTGCAGAGACCATTCAAAGTCAAATGGCAAAAGACTTCTGCAGCGTAAACCTTGACCAATGCGCTGTGTGCTTGAGCCCCCTATCTTCCCTACTACAGGAAAAAGATGCCAAAGACCTCGTCAAAAAATGGCGAGATACTGTGAAGTCTGCCTTTGCACAAGCTCTGTCAAAATTCAAATCCCTGAAGCTTCAGCCAGAGTCCGAGGCATGGGAGGAGTCTGAGGGGAAGATCAGAGAGACGCTACTGAATGAGGATGTGGTTGTAGTGCCTCAACCAGCCAGCGGTGTCATATCAGTGGCCGGTCTTGTGGCTGATGTCAACAGACTGGAGCCAACTCTTTGTGAAGTCGTAAACAAGATTGCCAAAAGGGTGCAGAGGGAGAAATCGAGCGAGACCCAACTGATCAAAATGTCACCATCAATTCACCACATCCTAAGTCAAGACGGTCTTAAGGACAAGCTGCTACAGGTGTACCCAGAACTCAAAATATCGTTTAGGAAAGATAGTGCAGGTTTAGAAGTAACTGGCTTTTGGGACGAGATCTCCACAGCAAGCAAAGTCATATTTGATGCAATTTTAGCACTAAAACGGCAGAATTTGGAAATAGATAAGTACGTGCTTGACTCGTTGAAGGATGCACAACAAGAGGAGCTGACAAACGCTCTCCTCACATCCAATGGAATAAATGTGGCATTTGAGATCAATGCTCACAGGGTGCAGCTCATTGCTGCTTCCGACAGCGATCTGAGTGATGCTGAAGACCATCTGAAGAGGGTGCTAATATCTCAAAACATTGACGTTGAAGACAGCAATGTGCTCGCAAAGCCAGAGTGGCAGGAGCTGGTCGGTCAGTTAGAGGATGCCGACAATAACTCATGCGGGAGAATTCAAATCCACACCGCTGGGCAACAAGTCGTGGTGTCTGGTCACAAGGACAGTATCAAAACAGTTTGCAGTAAACTTGATGACTTCCTGACGCAGAATGCACAAGTTGAAGAAACCGTTGTGGTCAGGCCCAACACCACCGTTGACTACATTAAAAAGCTTGACCTATCTTGGTTGGAGCCAGTGGAAGACAGAGTTGTGGTGTCTTACAGAATGGAGGCCATCTGTCTAAGTGGTTCCAGAGTTGATGTCGCAGAGTGCAAGGCCTTGTTTGAAAACCTGGTCTCTTCTGTGGTCTTTGAAACTTTAAAAAGCTCCAAGCCTGGAGTGAAGAAGTTATTCAAAGACAAAGCAGACCTGTATGTGTCCTCACTCTTTGTTAAAACCGGCTGCCTGGTCCAGCTGGTTGATGGGACGAGTGGTAGACGGGCGTTTTTGGCCCAAAGACGAGCACCAAAGCCTGTGTATCAGCTTCAGACAGCCGATGGGGTGGAAATAGCCATTTGCAAGGCAGACATGTGCAGCTACCCAGTGCATGCAGTTGTCAATGCCTCTAATCCAAACTTGAAACATGATGGAGGTCTTTCAAAAGCACTTCTAAATGCTGCCGGCCCCCAGTTTCAGGCAGAATCTGACAAACTAGTGAACTTAAACGGGCAGCTCAAGCCCGGAGACTGTGTGGCAACTGGTGCGGGGGGGCAGCTTTGCTGCAAAAAGGTCATCCATGCAGTGGGACCCCAGTATGATTCAGCTAGACCCCAGAAGCCACTGGCGCTGTTGAAAAGAGCTATTAAAGGAAGCTTGGAGCTCGCCGAGAAGCACGGCTGCGTCTCCGTGGCTCTGCCCGCCGTCAGCAGCAACCAAGGCTTTCCTCTCAATGTGTGTGCGGCCACCATCGTCAAAGCAGTGAAGGAGCACTGTGAGGACAAGTACGACGACAACACCCTGAGAAGGATCCATTTGGTGAACAACGACGACAGCGCCGTCCAGGCGATGGAGGCAGCTGTCAGACAGGAGTTTGGAAATCATGGCGTCAGTCTTTCTCCGCAAACTCCCCTCACCAAGACCACAAAGTCTCCCCTTGTGACACCTGCTGCATCTGACCCAATCTGCTTGGGTCAAGTGCAGACCAAAGAGGGCTTGAGCGTCACTCTCACTAAAGGAAATATCGAGAATGCAACGGTAATTTCATTTTAACTATCAAGCCTACCCTCTAGCTGTAGAGTATCCCTATGATTGGTTGTGGTCTTGACTGATTCTTAAATCACTGATTCTCGACTGTTCTATTATCTAAACAAAAGGAAAATAACATGCAACTGCTAACACTCTTTTAACACACTTTTAGACGGACGTGACTGTCAATATTCTGGCTGAAGATCTTGACCTGAACAGAGGGGCAGTTTCACAAGCCATCTTGAGAGAGGCTGGATCCAAACTTCAGCAGTCGGTAAATGCAAATCATGCCACTGGGAATATCGGCGAGGTCATCGTTACCGAGGGCTGCAAGCTGAAGAGCAAACAAGTCTTTCACGCAGTTGCGCCTCATTGGGACAGTGGAAAAGGCACAGCTGACAAGGTAAAGTGTAACATGGTGTACATTTTTGGTTAAATGACTAGAATTCGATGAGGAATATACCTCACAGCAGCGTAAACGTTCAGCGTCTTGCACGTCGATATTGATGGGATGTATGCTTTGCCTTCCAGCTCTTGAGTGGCATTTTCAAGGACTGCTTGGGAAAGGCGGAGGACAACGGTCTGACCTCCATATCCTTCCCCGCCATCGGCACTGGGAACCTGGGTTTCCCGAAAGATCTTGCAGCATCACTGATGTTGGATGAAATCTTGGAGTTTAGCAGTAACAAACAACCTAAGCACCTGAAGAAGGTCGTGATCATCCTTTACTCACAAGATGCGCAGACTATCCAGGTAAGGAAGGAAAACGAGCTTTCGTACTTTCCTTCCCCTATGTGCTAAACTAAAATATAACAGTAAGAAGGTAGTGTGTCATTATAATCCTGAAGGTTTTAGTTCTGGTTGATTAGGTGACACCTGTGGTTTCTGGTGGGAAAAGCAACTGTGGTTTGATACTACAAGTCCTAGAATTCTGTGGGCAGGAAACAATCTTTGAGCAGCTACTTTGCCAGACCAGAACAGTAAACACTGCTGTTATAAATGAGATCAAATTAAAACGGCAACACTGTATACTGTACACATGTATCCATAATTTCCTGTGAATCCCGTGTAGGAATGGTGGACCCCACCACTAATCATGAAAATAATATGTCTAAATGCATTGAATAACCCATACCTAGTTATGGTTTGATTTCATGACCAATCAGCAATATCGACCAGTAATGACTCACTACCACAGCACTGTTAACAAAGAGGGGGTCAGTTTAGTCTGTATTTCTCCTGTTTTATTGTGATATTTGGTATCTTTGTGATTGGGTCTCCAGAATTTCAGTGATGTGTTCACAAAGAAGTTCCCAACCGCCTCAGTGCCCACAAGTTCCCCACAAAGTCAAGGTAGGCAACATTGTTTCAACATTTTAATGTGTAATTACAATGTAATGCTGTATTTGAAAAATGTGTAAGGAATAAAATAACAGCTCTCAAAACAAACATCATTATAAGGTGAAGTACTTTAAATAGTGTATTTATACGCTCAACAAAAAAATTATTTATTTTGTAATGATATATATCCAGGTGAAGATGTAAATGACCTAAATGGTTCAGTAATGATCAAATTATACATTCATTTTATTGACGATCTAATTGTTACATTTTACAATACTACCTTTTTTTTTCCTTTTAACAAAGAGCTTTACTACTTATTGGGCTTTTGCAGCGCTGTTAATTCTTTATTTGTGTTCACTGCCTCAAGGTCCCTTCACTAAAGTTGTCTCGAGCGCAGGAATGCACGAGACCAAAATGGGAAGTGTGGCTTTGCAGGTGCTCACGGGAGACATAACCAAGGAGACCTCTGATGTCGTCGTCAACTCCTCCAATGAAAACTTCTCTCTCAAGTCAGGTAAAGGATAGCCAGCACTAGAATGTCTCAATAACGCAAAATAAGTGTAATTTGGATTTAATGTAAATATTTATATATTATGTATATTTTTCCCGTGAATCCCACACCTCCAATTTATATATATATATATATATATATATATATATATATATATATCTCTATCTCTATCTATCTATCTATCTATATATATATATCTATCTATCTATCTATCTATCTCTATATCTCTATCTATCTATCTATCTATCTCTATCTATATCTATCTATCTCTATATATCTATATATATATATAGATATCTCTATCTATCTATATATATATATAGA